GGTCAGCAAGCTGAACCACCTGGCCCAGTAGAAGTGGATAACGTAGGAGAATCGTGGGAAGTAAAGGACATTGTGGACTCTAGAGTAAATAAAAGATCAGGAAAGTTAGAGTACTTAGTAGAGTGGCTAGGTTACGAAGGAACAGACGATTCGGTATCATGGGAACCAGTAGAGAACGTCGACGGAGCTGATGACATATTGGCGAAGTTCCACGAACTTCATCCTACTAAGCCGAAGGAAGGGCGACTGCGGAGGGCTAGGAGGTAGAACGTACTGCATACAACATAGGATTACAGCTACGTACCGCTCACTTGCCCTTACCCTTACCCTTTCCTTTTCCTTTCTCCTTCGCGCTACTCGGTCCCGCGAGATTGGTGTGGAGAGTACCGATGGCCGAAGGTAGATCGAAACTGTCAGGGGGGAAAACAGTCGAGAGAGAAGCATTCCATGCCCGGTTCATAGCCCCAAAGAAATCACCAAAGTCCTGGACATCCCGAGCAGCTTGCATGCTCGGAGTCCTCCACAGGGAACGTATGGTCCTAAGACACTCGGAAGGAAGACTGAGGAGATCGAGAGCAGTCTGAGCAGAAGCAGGGACTCGAGAACTACTCCGGGGGCCTGACCAGCCGATGGACGGTGGTGGCTCGTATGCCATGGGAGTAACGAGGAAGGGGGTGTCGTAAAGTCTTCGGCGAACATCGGCTATCTCAGTAAGGCTTCGGCGAGAGACGTCCGCTAACCTCGTCCTTGCTTCCTCGTTCAGATTCCCACCGTTGACTACATCTACTAACGCCGCAGTAAGGTTATTCAAGGCGTTGGCTTGACGAGTGGAGAAGTCGAGCAAGAGAGATGTATCACGCCGAGCGATGTCAAGCTGAGTGGTGAGGCCGAGAACGAGAGAACGATACGTAGCAAATTCTTTCTCGTCCTCCGGGATACGAGGGTCCAGGGAGATGCGAGGGTGGACGAAGGACAACCGAGAAACAGAGGGCCCAGCACGCTGAGTAGCTTCATCTTCCACATCACCAGCTTCAAAGACGACCTCTTTCTCCTTCCTTTTCCCTTTTGATTTCTTTAAAGAAGACTTCGGGGTCTTCTTGGAAGCGGGGGACTCGGTGACGGGGGCGGCCGCTGGGGTGGCCGGAGGAGCAGAAGGACGGCGACTTCGGGTGCCGTGGGCCGGAGGAGAAGCCACCACAGGAGAGGACGGACGAGGGGCCGAAGGACGAGAGGCCGAGGGCCGAGAGGTCGAAGGAGGGGCAGCCGGGAGACGCGACGGGCCGGCCACAGGAACAAAGGGCGAGGGTGAGGGAGGCGACGAGCGGGAGGACGGCGAAGTTCGGCGAACCGACCGGAGAGATGAAGACGGTACCCGCGAACGGGGGACAGACGCTGGAGTCTGGGGAGGGGGGAGAGGAGAAGCGTCGAAGGGACGGGGCGGGATGTCCCGGGCAGAGGAAACGGGACAGAAGGAGCAGGGGCCAGACGTGCATGAAGCACAACGGAGGGCCTTGTTGTGTGGCCTGACTGCCTTGAGGCAGGGCCAGTTTGGGCGATTATACGTGATAATCTCACGTCTACTAATTAGCAGGAGTAACTTCGGCGTAGTACGAATAGGTGGACTCACCGGCAACGATCACACGCTTCGTCAACACCAACCGCGATCCAACGACCAGGCTCGGACTTCATCTTCTCCCACAAGTACTCTTCTTCCCGCAGTGATCTCTTCACCCGTTTGGGCGAAGGCTCCCCTCTGGGGGAAGGGGGGGGAGCAGCGACGGGGGCGGCGGCAGCAGGACCGGCGGCGGCAGAGCGGGCGATGGGGGCGGCAGGGCGGTCGGCGGCAGCAGCGGCGGCAGGGCGGGCGGCGGCAGCAGCGGCGATGGCGTTGGCCGGGGGGAGAACCCCGGAAGAGGAAGAAGAAGAGGAAGAAGAAGAAGAGGAGAGGGAACGGTGTCGTTTCTGGCCCACAATTTGAGCAGGGGGAGGGGCAGGAACGGCTGCGAGTTAGCAATGTCTTGGAGAGCTAAAGAACAGATAAATAAGGCCAAGTTCGGCGAAGGTGTGAGAGGTTGGACGAAGAACTCACGCTCAGGACTATCTACGTTGTTGTCCTCTACACTAATCACCTCCACATCATCATCCGGGTATTCTTCTAACTCGCTTTCACCCTCACTATCGATCCTACCCTCCCGATCATCATCATCCTCACTTTCTTCGGTGTCGGGTCGATCACTCGACTCCGAGCCCCCACTGAGCGAGTCCTGGTCGGAGGAGGACGGAGACTCACCAGGACGAAAGGCGGGCGTCCTACGGCGAGGAGGGGCGGTAGGAGGAGGCCCTCCAGGAGAACCCGTTACGGGGACGGGAGAACCAGACACGGGGGAGGGAGAACCAGCGGAGGGAGAGGCGGAGCGAGGGGGCGAGGCAGCGCCAGACGGCTCCCCCAGAGAGAGAGTGCCGAGGCCGAGGGAGGAGACTTGGCGAGATCTGTCACCGAAAGACACTGAACATCAGCCAAGTTCGGCGAGGTGGGGTGAGCATCGATGAAAACTCACGAGCAGATGACACCATACCACCAAAGTTCCTCATGGCGGCGAAAGGGCTGGGTGTGGGAGTAGAAGGGGCCATGACGTTAAGATATTTAAAAAGAGAAATAAATCTCGAGGCGATGATTCAAGGTAACAAATCTGTTTTCTAGGTAAGAGAGATAGAAAGTTTTGAAAGCAGATGGGAAAAAGAGAGAAGCTCGACGAACTGCTCAGTATTTAGTATAATCAAACCTACCCCCTCGTCGTCAACATGCAGCAAACTTCGCGTTTCATCAACAAAAGGCATCGCAGGGACGATCAAAATTCCCACGCTATAGTGTCTCATCTCAATATAAGCGAGGGTTACTTCGACAAACAACGGTGTTGTTCGGCTGCCATTCAGGAAGCGTGTCTCACCTACAAAAGACACAGGGCTTCTTACGGCAAACCTCGACGAAGTTAGGGGAGTCTCATTGTCGGGTTTTTGAGTGAAAGGAGGCCCAACTACGAAGTGCGGCGCAAAGAGCAGAAGAGTGAAGGATGGTCATGGGGAGGGAGAGAATGGGGGTACTACGCTGCTAAGTTCTCTTGCCACGACAGAGGTGTAATCGCTCACGAGGACGTTCGCGGCTAAAGAAGGGGGCGACTGTCACGAACTACGTCGTGACACCTCGATTACTCCACCAACAATGACCCTCCTTTGGCCATCAAAACCCCATCACGCCTTAACCTCTTTACTCTACACGTAACTCAGGACTTCTGACACCAAGTACGGCGAAGTTAGACGGAGTTAGGCCAAGTAGGGACAATGGGAGCAGAAGTACGGCGAAGTTAGACGGAGTTAGGCTAAGTAGGGACAATGGGAGCAGAAGTGCGGCGATGTTAGGCGGAGTTAGTCGAAGGAGGAAGAGGATGGCCGAGGGCTCGGGGAAGTTGGACGAAGTGCGTTGAAGTACGTCAAAGCGCGAGAGGGTTGGATGAACGTCTAGGAGGAGTAGATAATATTAGCTGAGAAGAGCGCTGAAGTTCTTCAGCGATCCTTGATTGTTGTCAGTAGTGAAAAACAGATAGAGATAGCTATATACAATTCGAGATACATCGCCATCAGTAGAACAAAACCCCAGTTAGAGTAACTACGCCGAAGTACGCCGTAGTTACACTCCTTTCGACGTCTGCGCCCTCTCGGTTGGGTGAGACTTCGACTCAGGAGCATCAAGTTAGCCGAGGTTCGTCGACCGTCGGTCTGCCAGAAGATAGTTGTTCGACGGCCGTGACATAAACATCATTTGAAGAATATGGAAGATCTAAGGATAGAGGATAAAAGAGAAGGAACGAGAGGTAATAAAGGGAGTCTAAAGGTTAGGACAGTGGGGAAGCCGTCTTAGGTAGTGAGCAGAGACTCCGTGATGACGGCAGAGGGAGTGTTGATCGTACCGCCACCACGAGTCGTATGTAGATTACCGAGAAACTCCGCGAGATCAAACTCGGGACATCTCTCTCTCTTTTATGCATCCTCTCTCGTCTCACCAACCAACAGACCTGGTGAGTCACGTGGATCTGTCCAAGAGACCACCTCGCCACCTCCGTCATTTCGAGTATACGCGAGATGAAGGGAGACGAGTGGGAAGATGGAAAGGTGGAGAAAGACAAGTGAACCATGAACGAGGGATTGAGTAAGTAGTAGTAGGATGGAAGTCAAATCTACCGACCCCAATCGGTTCATGCTGCTTTCGGACTATTTTCTCTACTCATCTAACGTATAATCATAGTGCATTACCATTGCTCCGTACGATGGTCAAACTGGATCCACAGATCTCCCAACGATCGCGTGACACTAACAACCATTAATTTGGACAATCACACCTTTTTGTAGAGGGGTATTGGTGGCTGTGTGAAGGTAATTAGAGCAATTTTCTGGTCAACTCTCTCCATGCATGAGGTGCTAAAATGCATCAAATGATCCTTGATAATACACCAAAAGAGAGGGGAAACATGCATTTCTGGCTTGTATTTCTGGCTGGACATTGTACAATGAGGCTTCACCCACCTAGTCATGCCTGAGGATGGGGTCTGAAAGTTGTGCAGTCAAGTTGACATGGATTCTTCTGTTCATCACATCTTCCAATGGGCATGATGAGCCCTATGACACTTCAAAGTGTCACGGCTTCCATCCGTTACCTAACACTTCCTCCTGTTCAACTGGGAGCACACGCATACTGGACTACATTACAATACGCTCAACAACTCATAATAATTCATATGGGACCTTTGTAGACCAAACATAATTGAGTTGGTGAGAATGGTCACAACTGTATTATTGAGCTTGCACAAGCAGGGGAGGTATGAAACACTGTGGATGAGTTGAACGCAGACTAGTGGCGACCCCACCTAATCTGTGACCAAGTCGTTGCGTTTCCAGTATCGTCACAAGGGTCCATACAAATATCACCCAATCAGCAACATCCTCCGTCACCAATGTGGGATCCATCCTAATACGTACCCTAACCATCAGCGGCCATTTCCAATCTCACTTCATCATGAGAGTGTAACTCACCCTGCGAAAGGTTTCTCAGATCTGTAGCTTCCTCAATTAATTGCTGCACTTGCTGTTTGACAGGTATCACCTCTCCCGTGACTTGATCATGTCCCGCTAACTTGCGTTCAATCTCCGCAAGAACCTGAGTCAAGTCAGCAGCACATTTCTCACATTTGATCCTTGAACCTATGCTAGATAGTCTTATTGCCTTGCCCCAGTTGGCAATGGAGACATCCTGCACAGAAGGGAAGTGAAGATCATATGAGGTGAAAAGAAATATGAACTCACACTCAAGGCCTTCTGGTTTGTCATCCCTCCTGCTCCTGCTTTTGCCATGTAGCTGTCACTTTCCAGATATGCGGCAATGAGGGAATTCTCTATTGTATTGTAGATATTGTGATCACTTCTTGCAGAGCCCGCGGGAGCTACAGATTGCGCCAATATTCGGTGCGCAGGTTTTACCTTGACATTAGCCATCATCTTCTCCTGCCATAATCATCACAGTGAATGACGGAAATTTTGTTCCCTGAATTGATGCTCATGGAGTGGCAGTAACAACTCACGATCGCATTCGTGTTCGGTTTCTCGTCTTGTTCGATCTTCTTGTCTCCTGACAATCAGCTCCATATCTCGTATTGACCAGATGAAGTACCAGTTGCGAATCCCCCAGAGGCTCCTGAAGGTCCCACATGCCCCGTCCACGATAATAGCGGATCATAGAGGAATGCTTCTAGCATGGCGAGAAGGGTACTACGAGATTCACGGAGGACGTTCATCGTAACTATACTTGCTTGTTTGAAGGAACCCCGGGAGCCAGGGGCCATGTCTTTCGGTACGTGGGAAGCGAGCTGGGAATGAGCACCAAAGCTACATGAATGTCCCTCGGCTCGATGTCACAACGATGGCGTACTCACTTCGAACGCGTTGGTCATCATCCTAGTGAGACGGAAGGGGACTTTCTCTGGTAGGAAGCTTCGTTCTTGAGCGACACCGAATAGCTGAACGTCAGTTGGCATGTCACAATGATTTACACCTTGTAAATGACGAGATTGAGCGGAACATGCAGAGGGAAAGGGAAGGGCACCACTCACATCACCAAAGTCAATGTGAAGTGCACCCCAAGTGAGCTGGTCAACAAGGATATTCAGCCCATGTCGGTCACCCAAGCCAATGATATACCCGACGAAGCCTGTATGTCAGCACTGTCCGACATTCATCCGTTCTCCTTCTTCAGCTTCCTTAGGTCAACAGATGATGGGGTTTCCTGAATCACTCACTTCCCACCCCTATCGTCCGGGAAAAGTTGGTTCTCCTCCTGATCCATAGCTCAGCTGACGGACTTCTCTGCCATAAAACATCTTTCAAGTCACCTAACAGGTTCAGCATCTCCCTCTTCACGTCATGATGAGCACTTACTTTGGTTGGAGTGTGACAAAGCCGCCTGAAGGCGTTTCACCTTGGTGTCCAGAGGCAGCTTATCGTACCTGTCCGATTCAGCGGGTGGATCCAGACGAGGGTTATCACGTTTCGGATCGAACGTCTCGGGATCGTACTGTTCTATCAGCTCTGGTCACTCGATGCCATGTGACTTACCCCGAGAAGAGAGGCAAGTTCTTTATTGGCCAAATTGGAACCACGATCTTTGTCCCTGTTCGATTGTATCAGGGCTTGCAACCTGTCCAGTGAGCTCTGCAATCTTCTTGATGGTATGGAGGACGGAATTCAGAGGAGTAATTATACGTACTGCGTAGTGTTCGGGACCCAGCTGACCAAGCCCGCACTAGGGGAGAGAGGGACAACCTCGTATGGAAGAAGATGCAGATTACGATCGAAAGCCTCCTGTTCGTGATTTAACAGGGTGTTGATGAGGGTGAACAATTGCATGATACGTTCATCGCCTCGAAGATCTTCGTTGCCTGATACAATCAGCACACATCATACGTAGCGAGCCACATTTGCAATGAGATCTGCGTTGTACTTAGATCGCAGACAGAAATAGCAAGGCACAGATGCAGGAACCGAGAAGACAGGTGAGGGGGATTTACCTTTGAGCAAGAAAGTATAGTCTTTGTGATGCGACTGAATGACTAATTTTCTAGGAAGCATTTTCGAGGTCAAAATGTCCATGGTAGGATGGAACCTCTGGATGAAGGCTTGATCGTCAAGTTTTATATTGGGATCGTATTGACCTGATGCACATTAACGTTACTCTTCGTTACTCTAATCTCCCTGTAGTGACTTACCTGGCACGGTGAGGATGCAGTCCCTCAAGGAGAGAAGCTTTGGAGCAGCAGTGGCCAATTGTAACTTGGTTCCTGGTACGCGCCATTGTGACAACTGAGCGTCTATCTCTCCGAATAGCTACGAGTCAACATGCTTCGTTAGGAGCATGAGCGAAGAAGACCTTACCTTGTACAAGTCACTATACGCTGTGTGAACCAGGGATAGGGTCCGGGATGAAGCGTACTTGATCAACGTTTTGTTGATGGACGCAATCCGAGCTCCAAACATCTGGCGGAAGTTTTCCTCATCAGGTGTCTCTGGACACTGTGAATATCAGCGAGGAATTCAGATATGATCAATACCAATAAGGCCAGGCGATAGAAGATAATAGCACGACTCACGTCTAGTTTCGCGATCTCTGGTTGCCACATAGCCGGTAGCTCATGCCATGCAATTTCCATCAGGTCTGTCCGTGGCAAACAACGATCTATAAGATTTCTCCATCTGCGATGTAAGCGCTCGACTCTGCCTCAACTCGACAGTACAACTCATCCCGAACTTCACGTGACCGCGACATGGTCTTCCAAAAGATACCAAGATAAGGAGCAAACTGGAAGGAGTGTGTGGACCTAACCAGTGACTCACTTCTCCAGCCAGCTGACACTCGTTCTGATCAACTCCGTCCCTACCAGCTCCGCTTGACTGATCAACCTTGTCCCATTTGGCATGGAGCATATATGGTCCATGATGACTCTGGCTCCTCCTTCATTCTTGTCGTGAGCATCATGTACTTTTGTCTGACTAGCAGTCAACAGAGGCCAAATGACTGCGTGAGGGAACTGATTGGCGATGTTCTTCAGTAGCTCGATCAACAAAGCTTGTAAATCTCGATGTTTGGTCCCGAGACGGGCGATAAGTTGAGGAATGGCATTGAGCCACGAGGCGACGGAGGTTTCGCCCAGTTGAGCGGAAACTTCCAGAAGGACAGACTCTGATTCTCCGAACCTATGCCAGAGAGTGACGAGACGAAGTAGAGCTTTGATACCTTTCTCGGGTGATTCGGGTGATCGGACCGCCTGGAAAAGACCTCGGATGGCAGGTACCACTAGACATCAGTGATCTGTTCAGTTGTTCAGAGGAGCAAGCTACTCACCATAATTATTCACTGCGATGGGATCTTGACGACTGCAATTGTTTCCCTCGAATATATTCATGGCCGCTTGCGATAAGGAGTACGAAGCGACAAACCATCCTGGATCTAGTTTGTAGGCAAGCGAGTAATAACGATACACTTCAGAATCAGGATCCTAGTGTATTAGCAAAGACATCGAGGATGTCAAACAATTATTAAAACTCACCGCAACCCAATCAGGTCCTTGACAAGTCTCCGTCCACTCCGCCAGTCGACAATATCTCCTTGCAAGACTCTCACGATCGATGCTGCTCAAAGCGGCCGCAGTGGTGAGTGGTCTAAGACCAAGACCTTCAGATTCGAGAGCGGTACGATCGATACTGAGATGTTCGACGAGCTTGGCGGTATGTTCGTGCATTTGGTTCAATGTGACTTGCTGCGCTTTTGTGGCACCTGACAACGTGGCGTCTTTCCAGAGGAACCGCATCTTGGTATATTCGACATTATCGCCCTGGAATCAGCAAGCTCGTCGAATATCAACGTGTACGCCCCATCAGTGGCGTGCATTAATTCGGATAGCACAAGATACCACGAGGTCGAAGAGAAATGTTAAGAACGATGACGCATAAGACTTACAGGCTGGAACTGCTTTGGTGTGATCATCTCCATAATCCACTTCGCGGCTTCGGTCATACCCTTACTCTCGCACAACTTTGCGCAATCAATATAACACAATTGAAGCTGCAGCGTAGTAGGCGGAGCCGCAAGACCCCATACTCCCAGTCGCTTCAACCAAGTGTTGACATCCGGGTGACTTTTCCTGAATCGAGCTCTCCATATGTCCAGGATCTGTACTCTCTGTTCAGGCTGAGATTTATACGTGATCACCTCTTTGAGCTCGACAAGTATTTCAGTCTTAGCCAGAGTCTTCAGAGCCACTTGAGGGCCGACGGTGAGTTGAGCCTGAAGCTCGTCGTAAGATAAGGATTGGGCTTTGCGGATGTGTTGGAAAGCGGAACCGTATTGACCGTGCTGAACATCGATGATGGCTTTATAAATTGACTTTGATGTGCCTTTAGGATGGAAAGCAAGATAGTCGGCCATCGTCTCGTAGTCATTCTACATGTGAGCTGTTAATCCCGACCGAACAGATATAAATGGGATCTCTCTTAACTTTCAAATGAAGAGATAAATGGGAATTAGACAGTCAGAGAATGTTCACTCACCATATGCCATGCTGCTGCCGTAGCCCAATGAGCAGTTTGTCTTCTTTGATGATCATTCAATCCCTCGAATAAACTTTGTGCCAACCGATATCCTTTCTCGAAGTCACCCAGAGCGTGATCTCCCCATCAGCCAACAGTATATTGACAGTTGAGGAACTTACGACATATGAGTCGAGTATTGAAAGACCCGAAACTTGTACCTCCAGTTATCTCATCAGCCCGCTGCTGGTGCCATAACGCAGATTCCCAATGTGACAGCTGGGTGATCCACATGGGATCTGGGGGATTGTCAAAGTCGTCTCGCAAAAGTTGTAAAGACGACCAGGCGGCGTCATAGCCTGGACTTTAGTAGTGATCTTTCATCAGCTCTAATAAACCTACAAGCTGAACCATATCTGCAACACATCAGCATGATTTATGGTCTACGAGAGGGATGGGACAGACCTGATGTTCACCTCGACCAGGTTGGCAATGTTCTCGGCGCAAAGATTACGTTCGGTGTCTTGTTCGGCGTACCAGCTGTATGTCAGCAACACTATCTCCACGTCATCAGACCGATGACATCACAAAATTTGGGATACAAACACATGCAGGGGACAAGAGTTGTATCGTCGGACGTGAACATACGAAAGTGAGGTATGAGAACACCATGGTGCCACAATGCAAGTCAACGAGATGATTGGAAGAAGAGGACTGGGCAAGAAAGGTCGACCCACATGACGATAGCCGGTACAGGCTGCTTCAAATCTCCTAATGAGTTTGTATCCTCCTTCCACCTTTCCAATGCGCATGTCCGTGCCGCATCCAACACTCTAGTGGGCATCGGATGTCTTTCTTTATGCAGGAACGCAAGTAAGTCGAGAAAAGTGAGCACGATATCCTTCGAGACCGACATATCGGAAAATAACCGTTCCAGTGTATCGTCGACCCTTTCCTACATAATCAGCTCAACTCAGCGACAGAGGCCAGGAATGAACCTTGAAAGCATGATCCTCGTCCTTAAGACGATTGTAGCACTTTAAGAATGCGGTCTGGAACAGATCCGCATGAACCTGAGAGCCGAGCTATATGTCAGCATCGTACTACAACTGGCTGTTCATCTCTCTCGCCGTAAGGGAACGATGCGGCCATGTTAGAGTAGGTAGTGTGGGGACAGAGAGGTCGGATATGGTCGGTGGCCAAGAGAAAGATAGAGTGAACAGGAGAGGGAAAGGAAGGAGTAATGAGAGACTAACACGAGAAGTTACAACCATCTCCGGTACGCTACTCGCTTCCAAAGTAGCATGAAACAGGTTGTCCAGCCAAACATTGGATTTTTCATGAGTGGAAGCCATCAAAGTCGATGCCCAAGCCTGTTGTACCGACCTTCTCTTCGGGGGTAGATTTCTAGAGAGTATATTGTTGAGAAGAGGATGATCTCTGGGAGACGTGACTGTCGGAGCGGGGGTGTTGACATGTATTGGCATTGCCTATGCGTCAGCGTTTTGCCCTAGAAAGTATTTCGTTCACAAGGATCCACAGGACGTGAACTAATGACTTCAGAATGGTAAGTAGCCAAGGTGATCGGAGTAGTGGTGTCGAAGTGATGTATGTAGAAGATGAGGAGATCAGCGACAATGGAGGGGATATGACAGACCCAGGATGAAGAAGAAATATATCACATACACTCTTCGGTCTACCTATATCCCTTCCATTGGCCAAATGCAAGACGATCCCCAATCTATTTGCCGCAACTTCCAATTCTGGACTTTGAGCGATCCTGCCATCCTTAGCTAAAACCTTGAGAGGTTTTACCAAACAAGTCTTCATCACTTCCATTGTATCACCTACTTCACACAATAATCTCAAAGCTGACAAAATGACTTCTTTGTCTCGGGTCGGTTCAAGACTTTTCAATAATAATGGTAGCCATATTGAAGAAGTACGTCCCATGACTTCTCTAAGTTTAGGTGAGGAAAGTAGGGCAAGACCTTGAAGCCATGCTTGAGGTGTTGGGGAGGTAAGTAATGCTTGACAGATCAAGGGGATCATACGATGTCTTATGTGTTGAGTTGCGTTCATTTTTGCCCCTCTTTTTTTGTGTTCCAGACTTTTTTCCAATTCGATTGGAAGAATGTGGGTAGGGGGAGTTTACTCCAGAATCAGGAGCAGAATCAAGAGAGAATGATGAGAAACGTCAGTATGAGTAGTGTCATGAAATGAAGAATATCAGCTCTTCGTAAGGAGTAGAATGGGTGGCCAGAAAAGATGAAAGGTGGTTTAGAGGGGATGGGAGAGAACCGCCTTCCCCGGATAATCCTTTCATAATCCACCCCCATTGACCTCCTTTCATCAATTTTCGTTTTCTGTCCATCTCATTCGGTGATCGGTTTCCCGCAACCGACGATGCCCAATTCGTCATTGAAGGCTTTTTCGTTTCCCCTCCCTTGCATGTGGAAATGACATGCCCTATGAACAGTTGGTTTGTTCCTCTCACATTGTGTTGTGTTACTTCCTAATGTCTATGCGATCCCATTACTCTTATTGCCAATCGCGTAACCTTGAAACTCGCCTTGCACTCTCCGATAATGTTCCATTTCACCCTCACTTACACTAGGTATCAGTCCCTCTAATGCATGCCAAAAGTCATCTCGTGTGACTTGAACTTGGATCTCCTCCGGTTGAGCCAAAGTCGAGAGGTAATACTGAGGTGTCATGGGATACGGAAATTTGTATGGCGGAGGTTCAGAGTTGAATCGTTCAATCTTCTCATCCACTTCTTCTGCCAATCGTGTCATAGATCGTAACATGGCATCTGAACATAGAGCATAGAAGTCCGCTCCGGTAAGGTTGAAAGGACATCTTTCGGCCACTTCTTCCAAATCACATTCCGGATGAAGTTTAAATTTTCTCGTGAGAGCTTTCAATACACTCAACTGTGCTTGATGGGAGTTCGGGACACCAAGGTAGAGCATCCGATCGAATCTTCCAGGACGAAGCAAAGCGGGGTCGAGTAAATCGGGTCGGTTCGTAGCTCCCATAACGAATACGTCTGATTTTCCACCGGAAGACATTCCGTCCAATTCTGCTAAGAGTTGTGAAACTATTCGGTCCATAACTCCTCCGGAATCACCTTGGTTGCCTCGTTTAGGAGCGACGGAATCGAGTTCGTCCATGAATATGACGCAGGGTGCTGCATCACGTGCACGTTGAAAGACACGACGGACGTTGGCTTCTGATTCACCGATGTACATGTTGAGCAGTTCTGGTCCTTTGACAGAGAAGAAGTTGAGGGAAAGGGAAGTAGCTACGGCTTTGGCTAAAAGAGTTTTCCCTGTGCCTGGAGGACCATAGAGAAGAATACCTGTAGATCAGCATCTCGATCTCTCGTCATATGTTAATCAGCTACTTGTAAAGGAACAGGAGCTCACCAGATCTCTTCTTCAAACCCTCGGCGAAAAGTTCAGGGTGATCTAGAGGTAGTTGAATCGTATCCAATATATCCGTCTTGACAGACGCTAATCCCCCAACGTCATCCCACGATACATTTGGAATTCTAGGAGCATCGATCCTCTCCGCATAAGATTTCTTCGCCCTGTTCACGGAGCTTATCATGTCTGCCGCAATGACGGCTACTCCTGCGTGTCTGACCTCAAGAGCTGATCGATGACTTTCTTTCATAGCTCGGTCGAAAGCCACGTCGGAAGCTCGACGAGTGAGACTGAGAATATCCCCCGGGCGTAAAGCCGCTGTCTGAATAGCGAGTTGTTTAAGATCGACATCAGGTGCTACTTCTTTATCTTGCAGAGCATTCCGAATGACAGTCGCTCTTTGCTCCTCATTCGGAGCTTGCAATTTGATCTCGCGCTTGAAGCATCCCAGAATACCTGCAGGGACTGCGTCCTCATCCCTCGTCGTGCCACATAAGACGCAGGGCCATCCAGTCTCCAGAGAGGCTTTACGCAGGAACTCCGACGCATCCTCGACGAGCTTTGCCGAAGCCGTCAGACGACCAGTGTTGGCTGCTTCAGACTTTTGAGCCAGTGCTTCGAGGTGATGTAAGAGTAGGATGGAAGGCGCGCAAGCTTTGGTTTTCTCCAGAAGAGCGGCAAGGGTGCCCTCGGTGAAGGTGAAAGTATCGCCGACGAGATCATAACACTCAACCTGATTGTCAGCTCGACAGGCGTCAAGGTGCAACGTTGGACTGACAAAGATTACGCTGAGGCCGCAATGATTCGCTATCGATTCCACAAATGAACGCTTTCCGGCTCCCCGATCGCCTATGATCAACACAGACGAAGGAGGAATTCTGTGCTTTGAGAGAGAGTAGATGCCTGTGGACAGCAGATCTCTCAATGTCGTAGCGTTGACAGCATCGTAAGGAGTTGGCATGAAACCTATCAGCGTCAGCTACGACGTTCTACGTAGGGCATCACAACGCACTCAATCCGTTCCAATGGCGATCAATATCACGCAACTGAATCCCAGCCCGATCCACCCCGTTCAAGACCATCCGAGTGATTCCATTTTTACCAACATTGACCCAACATCCTAATTCACCCGCGCGGGCTTTCGATGACACGGACGATGAGAAGTCTTCTTCTAGCGACACCAGTGGTTCGAATGAGAGAGAAGTGACGATGAAGAACACGAGGCCGGTAAATGGTTTGAACGGCGACTTCGGCTGAATGATATCGGTATTCTCATCAAACCCGTCTGAGCCCCAGTCGTCTGGATCGCTTTCAAAATCATCAATTGTCTCGTCCTGGTCCGCTTGGAGTCCATTGGACACCGGTAGAGGCTTTCCCATTCGAACAGGAACCGAGATAATATCGCCTCGCCTGACAATCCGCATCCCATGCTCCGCGTGACTGTCATGCTTGAAATGATTTCTCAGACCTTCCAGCCAAGACCTCTCATATCGTTTGTCCACACCTTCAGCGGTTGCTATTCGAGCCAGCGTCATTGCCTTTGCAGTGGGCATGGTAGGTGTCCGTATCCCGAAAGGCGTGGGAAGTAATGTCACTTCGAACTCTGACGAAGGGGTTCCAGATGAGAGAGCTCGAAAGATTGTAGGTGATAAAAGAATCGGATTGTCCGGTAGCTCTTCCGTAGACTCATCCAATTTCTCCCAAGCGAGAGCTTTTACCAGTCGGCTGGACGAAGGACCTGTGTTCGTTATCGATTTGAGCAATACCCAATCACCTTCAAATATACCCGCTCTACCCAACCCAGATACTCCTACCCAGCAAACGTCCATCTGGTCAACCACGGAATAACTGGCTGCTGGTCCTAATGCATTGACGGCAGTGAAGCGAGCTCCATTTTCTGCCTCGTAAGGGATGAGATCTTCCGCGGCTACTGGTGGTGAGGGTGTCCTTGGGGTTCCGGGAGGTCTAGGAGTGACAGATCCACTTGTGGAGGATGTGACGGAATGTGCCAGATCGGTCTCGTCGGAGAATGGAACAAGATCGCGGGGGGAAGAGGTAGAGAGTGTGAGGCCGGATGATAGAAAAGAATCAGAGTCGAAATTGACCATGCTCAAATGAGTATTTCCATGACTGCTCTCACTAGCTAGATCGTCTTCGGGCCATAGTCCGTCGGTCGGATCTGGAACATGAGGAACGGGAGAGATGATGATTCGAGTCGTTGGAGTGAAGATACCTTGTTGGACAGGTTCTGTCATGAGAATACGGAAACGTTCAGGGGGAAGGTCGTTTTGGGAGAGCAGATCGACAATGAGGAGGTCGCCTACCCGAATGATATGGGCTGAAGTGCTTGAATTTTGAAACGAGTCGACGATGATACCATTTGGACGATGTGCGGAGGAGATTGAGGATACTTCATCTGTATACAGGGGTTTAAGGTCGAGCTCCGTTAGCGTAGGAGGGATATAGTGAGTATCTTGGCTAGGTGCAATAGCTTGTAGGATGACCAAGGACAGTGAGATAGGGTGATGGTGAGATATCCTACAGACGAGCGGTGGGTTCGAGTATGGTGGGAAAAGAGAAAGGGGAAGGTAGAGCCTGTTTGTCTCGTGCTCCCCAGTATCACTGGACTTGGGTAAGTCAGCATAGGTCGTTTGGAGATAAAAAGTAGGACCCACTTCCGTCTCATCCTCTTCTATCCACACTACGAGAGCTCGCTGTTTACCCTTACCCACTCGGCGCTCTTCTGGCCATTCTATAGCTACGTCGATACGTGAAGGACTACTCGGGAAGGGTCTACTGTGCTGTGGGTCTTCCAGACGAGAGGGGTCTTGAAGTGCTTTGAGACGCTGCCATAAGGCTGGGGACGCCAAGCCCACCTGAGCGGAGGATTGGGAGGAGGAAGAGGGGAGGTTTGGATGGGCGGAGAGTGGATGAACTTGAGTCTGTACGATATTTCCCTTGCTGATGTGACCTGGCATACCTCGAAGGCGCCCGATTTATCGTTGAGAGTTAACCCAAGATGACATGAGTTGTTGCTAAAAGAGAAAAGTTGATGTTATGGTGGTAAAGACGAGTTGGGTCGAGTTCACGACGTCATTTCAACCTCCACCTCTCTCCCCTCTCCACCCTTACTTGGCACTACTTTTACATACTACATCTCTATTCCATTCGCACCTGTATAAGACAGGATGAGGTCTTCGGCTGTGGCTTTGAGATGTGTAAAACGCCCAAGACTGTCGCTGCAACCATCTAGGCGCTTACTCTCGACGATAGCTTCGGCAGGACCAAGCTCTCCCTCTCCAAAGATATGTGCAGTGCCCTTTCGTTTAACTCCTGAATCTGCCTTCAATCGTATGCTCATTGCCGGTCTCTTAGCTGCCCGTGAGTTTTCTATTCTGTCTACTTCATAATCATGGCTGACATCTCAGCTTCACCGTCGAACCTTGCTCGGGCGGCCCTCATACGGTTCTTGGGCTCTTTCGGGGCTACCATCGCCCATGAGTTTGGTCTCGACGAGGATTTCAAGATGAAGGATATGAAGGCTGTTTTGTATCCCATATGGCGAGTGGACTGCATGCTGGAGGGACCCGTCGAGATATTGGAGAAGAGAAAGCAAACTTCAGCTTGGATAGGAATATCTGAGGGTTATGTCCCAGGTGGGTGTTCTCAGTCCATATTGGAGAACAAACAGGAAGCTGACGTTATATCTAGGAAACCCATTTGCACCATTATCATATTTATCTTTCGCCATACCTCCTCTACCCGCTGAATTATCAGAGTACAATCCAGAAGAAGATCTCAAACAATTAGGAGAGGGTAACGAGGTTGTAGAGGTTCCCTTTACGGTCTCACCTCTGGGGTTGTTGAAGCGGCTTCGGCAGGTTGTGGGTCGTACGACGTGGGAAGGATTTCGAATAGATCAATCCAAGTGGAAAGATACTCTGGTGAGCTGATTGGATTATCACATTTCACGATCTCGACCCCAACATGTCATAATACTGATGACGGTCGCTGATTTAACAGTTTGCAGCATATCCTATCATGTTTCCTCTCTTCATAGGACAGTTCGAACACAAATGGAAAGATGATGTTCGAACGTATAGCGTAATCATGGATGCTCATGACCCAAATGTAAGTCACAGATACTCTTTTTACCTCTTATCAAATTCACGCAAAGCTCTCTTTTTCTCTCGCTTCGATCTTGATCTCCTACGACAGCACTGATTGGGAAAAGAGTTTTCGACTGGACTGATTTGTAGCCGAAATCATGTCGCACTTCATTCCCTCCACCTCCAGAATTGATCGACCGGTGAGTTCATCCATCGATCTAAATGGTAAAACTAATGCTGGCCAGTGGACGTTTCAATACAAATTATTTCGTTAATCCTGCTCCATTGCTGCCTTCCACCCACCTCATGGTCGCTTCTCCACTTACGAGACCCCCTACATCTGATCCTCCTATATCCAAAGCCGTCGCAGATAAGTTTATGGAATGGATGTCTCCCGCTCCCGAATCGGCAACTAGTATCAAACCGTCGCCGATGTTATGGGTTCAGGAGGAAGAAGGTGGAGTGGACTGGGAGGATCCGAGGATACAAAGCTGGGCGGCAGAAGAGAGACAGGAGAATTTCAAATATATCAATAATAATATAGAACTTCAGAATGGTCTCGCGGCGCTGACGGTGAGCCAAAATCAACATGTTGGGCAAAAGTATCACTACTGACAAATAGGGTTTGAAGGAGTTTACTTCAAACTTACCAAAGGGAAGTGATCCAGAAGGCATGGTGGTTTTCTTCTCGCCCGGTTTACCAAGTGCGACTTCAAAACCGATGAGTGAGATTCGAAAGAAATTGGAAGAGGATGTGAATGCAAAGAAAAAGGAATTGGAGGGGAGTAAACCGGGTTGGCTCAAGAAGTGGGAGAAGAGTCAAAAACCCATTGGTGCCAAGAGATGAAAGACTTGTGTAAATCACTTGAAACGGGTTCTCAATGCAGACTTATAGGTTAGCTGGATGGACAAACTACCTGATTTGTCATCTGTGATCCTCTGACTGAGGCTTAGGCCCTCTCCTCGGTGATCCTTCGAAATTAGTGTACTATGATAAGCTCATTTACTTGCTATGCGTGTCAGTGAAGAAAAAATTAGGAATATTGAATTATTGTGGGATGTGCATGTATCAGCAAGTGAATCTGGTAGAGGAGTCTGTCCTGTCGCTTTGACGATGCATTTAGTCTGCCGTATGTCACGGTAAAGAATGACGACCCACGTCCATAACTTTTGCCGGCCGGACCATGACACCGTCAAGAGACGGGTCTACCCCGACACGATTCCTAAGGCGTTCGAGGGCGAAATACGCGAAGGATTTAAGCGGCTGCGAATGGGTGGGCAATGAGCTATTGATAGAGGAGAAGGGAGCTAGAAGACAGGCTGTCGATAAATGAGATTGAGACCTGTTCACCGTCAGCAAACAGATTCCATAAAAGTAGCTAGAGTCAGGGCGTTTCGAACGCATAGGGAGGTGGTTCTGTCATTATGGGTGGACTTACTGTATAGTCCCCTAAACCCCTGTGGATTGCTGTCCTATCGCTCAAGCTTGAGAGCGATGTATCGCCACACATTCCCTCGCCACCAGTTCTCATGACTTCATGATCGTTCTCACAGGCCGCCTTCCACCGAGTTTTCTTCTGCATCGCCTCTTTGTCACGCTCGCACAGCAATCGGACGAAGTCGGATAGAGTGGGGCGGACAAGAAGGCGGAAAGAGGAGAGCCAAGGAGGGACGATATGATCCTTGCTGACAGGCCTACGGTCCGTATAGAGTCGTCCCGGTGATAAAAAAGAGAAAAAGACGGCCGTCTTAAGTCTCGGGGGCCCATTTTCGCGTTCGTGGACTCAAAACTCGGGATGCAAGAGACCGGATTGACAGTAGATGACGTAGTTCGAATGATCGTGAGCTTGAGAAAGAGTTATGAGTCTGAGAAGGCGGGCGGGGCGGTGGAAGAAGGGATAACCACGTCGGCCGCGTCGGTCAAACCGACCGTGGGAAATGACGTCTTTTCAGTAGGGGGTATCGCCTTACTGTATGATCCTCCAGACCCATAGGTGAAAGTTATATAAAGTGCATGTCTCTCTCCAGCCTCCAACAAGTTCTCAGATCCACAATCAGCCATTACGTCCAGCACACAAGATGACAACCACAAATTCTAACACTGAGTTGACCAAACCCTTGAGCGGGTGGGACACAGAGGGCTCCCAGTTTGCAAGCCAAGGTGTCTACCCTCTCGACCAGAAACCAGAGGACATAGCCTCTAGAAGGTTGAGGTGCCTGACAACTATTGTGGGAAATTTATCGCAGACAGGGAAGCAGGCCACTTCATTGGGGCATACCCCTGCACATTTTGTTGGCGTGTACATACTGCACTCCCGTGAGTTTGCATTCTGTTGAAGGCAGGGCCAACAGGTGACCACTATAGATAACCTGGCTTTGCTGATCGCTGAAATCTTGTTCTGCTGACATGAGCCTCACCCTGTACTCTTGTTGTATGTAAGTACATGGTTTGGTATGGTATGGTATGGCGAGGCTAGATGTGACATACCATTAGACGCTTCGACACTTATATCCTTCGCCTTCCCTTTGTCCAACTGTGGTTCGGTTTTCTTGTTTATCTCTTGATCGACTGATTGGAATGGGCTCATCATAGGCTCGTTTGAATTGCCTACAGTTTGTCAGTTCTTTCGCCACGCAAATGTGTTCTTACAAGTGACACGTAGGGACTTGTGTATGGATGATAGTGAAAGAGGTCGAAATACTGGAGAGGAGGAGGGAGGAACATCGGAGAGGAGGAGGGAGGGGAACTCACTGTCTGGCTCTTGGGAATTGTTTTCCAAATTCCAAGATGTGGACAGAGGTTCTTCTGTTGATGTAGAGCTATTATCTGAGGTTTCGGAAGTGTTATCCCCAAAGAGATCTTCCATGGTATACTCGTAGGGGTTCATTTTGATAGAAAGGGAGTGTCACGAACTACGTCGTGACACCTCGATTACTCCACCAACAATGACCCTCCTTTGGCCATCAAAACCCCATCACGCCTTAACCTCTTTACTCTACACGTAACTCAGGACTTCTGACACCAAGTACGGCGAAGTTAGACGGAGTTAGGCTAAGTAGGGACAATGGGAGCAGAAGTACGGCGAAGTTAGACGGGGTTAGGCTAAGTAGGGACAATGGGAGCAGAAGGGCGGCGATGTTAGGCGGGGTTAGGCTAAGTAGGGACAATGGGAGCAGAAGTGCGGCGATGTTAGGCGGAGTTAGGCTAAGTAGGGACAATGGGAGCAGAAGTGCGGCGATGTTAGGCGGAGTTAGTCGAAGGAGGAAGAGGATGGCCGAGGGCTCGGGGAAGTTGGACGAAGTGCGTTGAAGTACGTCAAAGCGCGAGAGGGTTGGATGAACGTCTAGGAGGAGTAGATAATATTAGCTGAGAAGATCGCTGAAGTTCTTCAGCGATCCTTGATTGTTGTCAGTAGTGAAAGACATAGAGATAGCTATATACAATCGAGATACATCGCCATCAGTAGAATAAAACCTCAGTTAGAGTAACTACGCCGAAGTACGCCGTAGTTACACTCCTTTCGACGTCTGCGCCCTCCTGGTTGGGTGAGACATCGACTTAGAAGCGTCAAGTTAGCCGAGGTTCGTCGACCGTCGGTCTACTAGAAGATAGTTGTTCGACAGCCGTGACAGGGAGGTTGGAGGAATGAATTGTTTGGAGTCGGAATGTGGGGTTGTTTGAGTGGAATGAGATGTTGTTGGAGTCGATAAAAAGTGACCGTCTGATGAGATATATACTATTCTGGTTGACGTGAGGTGTCACTTTCCACGTCACGTTTACGGCACGTCTATATGTGTGCAAGGGGCAAGGCCTGAGCCACCTTTCCACCTTGTTCCCGTCTCACGTGAGTGTCTTTGTGCGTGATTATTGTTTCTGTCTACTATTCTTCTGCTGTTCTCTACAAACGTTATGTGGATGACTTTGGGAATTCCAGAAGTCCTGTACTGCTAATGGTGCTGTATCGACATTTTCTGCTGGTTCCCATGTATCATCATGATCTGCATAGCCTTTCCAATGCACTAAATAGTACTCTTTTCCTTGAGGTCCATTTCTGTGTGCACGTATGTGGTCTACTTCATACTCTGGTGCGGTCTCTGCCGTTCCAGGTTCTATTGGTGGAGGAGGGGGCTGATTCTGGTTTGGAAATGGGTTAGAGCGAAATAGTCGTAGGTACTGAGTGTTGATCACTGGATGAGCCTTTATGTGAGGTGGTAAGTCAACCTTATATGAAGTGGGGTTGACTACCTTCACTATGCGGAAAGGTCCAACATACTTTGCTTTCAGTTTCTTCGATCCAGCACCTTTTATGAATGGGGGACTGAGGTAACTTGTTGATACCATAACCATGTCTCCATCTGAGAAAGGTCTTTCCTTGCGTCCTATGTTGAAATGACGGGCTTGTTCTTCTTGAGCCAGTGCAAGAGCATCTTGAGCTTGCTGTTGTAATGTTACGGGGTAACAACGAATCGAGAGGACTCTATCGAGTTCGACGGATTAGGACAGAGGAAAGCGGGAGTTGGAGGCAGTGCTGCAGTAGGTAGGGACGGGTTTTCCCTTTTCGAGATTTCCCCACTGGGTTTGCTCAAAAGCGGTTTTTCACCTGTCCGAGTATGTACATAGACGCTTGCAGTAGGAACTGAGAGGAGGACACGGATACCTGTAGACAGTATATAGTACAATCAGCAAAGTACCAACTTTGCTGATTCTTCAATATCATTCTTTGGCTACATCGATTGCAGAGGAGACACGATCCATTAGCACCAGAGCCCCTAGACTTCCACGAGACCTCCATCGAGTTCGACCCAACCTGCGACCTAGTCGTCGTGTTTCCAGTACCGTTACATGTAAGCTTTTGAGATTATCGAGGAAGTCTTCGGTTGCGGGTACATCGCTTTGAATGGGTATAAGACAGTCCAGAGGTGCAAGGGGTTGATAGCCAAGGTCAAGCTCAAATGGGGATATACCGGTAGATTGATGTGTGGCCGAGTTGTAAGCAAATTCCAGTGCCGGAAGATGATCAACCCAGTTGTCCTGCCGATAGTCAACATAATGTCGGAGCATTTCCTTCACTGTTCGAACCATGCGTTCTGATTGTCCGTCGGTTTGGGGGTGATAGGGTGTAGACATGGCAAGCTTTGTTCCAAATTTTTGAAACAGTGCTTTCCAAAAGAGGGAAGTGAACTTGGTGTCTCGGTCTGAGATGATGACACGAGGCATACCATGAAGGGGAATAATGTGGTTGAAGATGTGTTGAGCGGTGTTGGTAGCTTTGTCAGTTGTATGACAGGGGATGAAGTGGGATCGTTTTGTGAGTTTGTCAGTCACTATCAGTACCATGTCGAATCGGTCCTTTCCTGATGGCGGGAGTGGTCCAGCAAAGTCCATTGCTATGGTATGCCATCTCTGTGGAGGAATAGGTAAGGGCTGGAGAAGACCAGATGGTCCTTCAGCAGATGATTCATTCCTTTGACAAGATTCACAGGAGGTGACGTACTGTCGGACATCTTTGTGCATTCCTGGTGTCACGAAGTGACAAGTTAGTTTGATAGTGATAGTGATAGTATGGGTTGGGTATTTAACCAGCGACCGGCGGTATGCAGTAACCGCCGGTTAATAGGCCTTTTAGCACAGTGGTTTAGACCACTGCCTCTGAAGGGCACTGTTATATCGTCCCAATGCTGGTTAGTTGGTCTCGTGACACCTGGCCAGAAGAAGCGGCGAGAGATAAGTGATAGTGTCTTATGTATACCTAAGTGCCCAGCACTTATAGCATCATGATTGTCGTGGAGGAGGGTGAGTCGGAGGTGGTTGATGGAGGGGATGCAAAGTCGTTCTTTGCCAGTGAGAGGGTCGTGATAAGCTAAGAGTCCATCTTTGTCCAGCGTGAACCGTGCATTAAGACCTGTCTGATCCTTTGACTTGAGAGTGTTGATGATGTTGAGAAGTCGGGGATCTTGTGTGTATCCGTCTTTTACCTCTTTGAGAAAGTCTGTTGAAAAGGCCACTTGAGAAGCAAAGAGTTGTCTATCCACAACTGGTTCAATGTTCATATCTAAATCCTCTGTTGCGTTGTTGACTGTTGGAAGGGGAGCTCTTGAGAGACAATCAACATTGGAATGAAGTCTGCCGGCCCGATGACGGATTGTCATGTTAGCGCGGTAGGGCTGCAGTTCCATTGACCATCGTAAAAGTCTACGATTGTTCCCTTTAAAGTCAAATAACCATTGAAGAGCGGAATGATCAGTGATAAGTGTGAATTTGGCACCGTCAATATAAGGTTGGAGTTTGGTGACAGCCCAAATAATTCCTAAACATTCCAGTTCACTGGCTGTATAGTTTTGTTCAGCTGCAGTGAGTGATCTGCTGAGATAGACTATGGGATGTTCCCTATTTTCGTCGTCCATCTGAGCCAAAACAGCACCTAAACCAACTGTTGAAGCATCTGTGTAAACAAGGAAAGGTTTCGAGTAATTAGGGTGGGCGAGGATGGGGGTGGTGGTGAGGCGAGTGCGCAGCTCCTCAAATGCTTTTTGGCATTCAGGTGTCCAGATGTACTTGGTGTTCTTAGTGAGGAGAGCATGGAGAGGGGAGGCAATGGTGGAGAAGTTGGGGACAAAACGACGATAATAGGTACACATACCTAAATATCGCTGTAGTTGTTTGATGGTGGTAGGAGGTTCCATATCTTTAATTGCTGCTACTGATTTTTCCAGCGTTCCAATTCCAATATTACTAATAGAATGTCCAAGTGCTTCTATTTCCTGGAAAGCAAGTCGTGATTTTGTGGGGCTGAGTGTGATTCCTGAGTTGGTGATGAGCTTGAGGATTGTGTCGATGTCCTGGAGGTGAGATTCAAAGTCTTTGCTGAATACGATAATATCATCAATGTAAACTAAAGCAATTTGCCATTTGTATCGGCCAAGTACCTCGTCCATGAATCGTTTGAAAACTGGTGGACCATTGCGGAGTCCAAAAGGCATTCGGTTCCATTGGTGAAGTCCTCGGTGTGTTCTAAATGCAGTCTTTGGTTTGTCTTCCTCAGCAATAGGGATTTGGTGGAAACCTTTGTTGGCATCAAAAGTACTGAACCATTGCTTACCTGAAAAATGAGTAAGAATGTCATCAATTCGAGGAAGTGGATATTGATCAGCTTTGGTCACATCATTGACTTTTTGAAAGTCAATGCAAAACCGATCCTTCCCCTTCTGTCTCACCAGTATAGCAGGCGAAGCCCATGGAGAGTCAGATTCTTCGATGACACCTTGTTCAAGAAGTTCAGCAATAGTTTCATCAATTACTTGTCTTCCAGCAGGAGAGGCATGGTAGGGGGCTTGAGAGATGGGAGAGGCATCTCCAGTGTCAATTGTCATCTCTGCCAGAGTTGTTGATCCTAGCTGCCGTGCTCCTAGCTGCCGTGCTCCATAGCCAAAAGCCATGTAGTTGTTTTTCAGTACCTGGATGAGTTGTTGTCGTTGAGTGTTGGAGAGGGAGGGGTTGATTGAGAGGTCGTTAAGGGGAAAGTTGTCTTGGTGAGTTTTGTTATTGAAGTGTGTCGTAATGTCGTGAGTGTCATGATGGGTCAAGTGAGAAATAGGAAGGGTGGAAGAAATAGCCGGGAAAGATTGTCCAATTTTTGTACCGGCTTTAAGGGTTATTGGTTTGTTGCCAAGATGAACAATGTGAGCAAAATGGGTGGGATCTTTTGACTCGCCAACAGATCTTCCAACATATAAGTATGCTCCAAGTGATTTTGGATCCACTACATAAAATGGGGTGGTTGGGAGATCATTGATAACAATCCCAACTCTATGTTGATAACCAGGTTGGAAGGTATAACTCTCTTTCAGTCTGATAGCACTGTCAGGAGATTTCCTTCCTACTGTTTGCCATTCTGGTTGTTTACATGTGGTGGGTATGGTTCCGGGGATTGTCTTGAAATTAAGTGTATTGTTCGCAAGGTCAATGATGGCACCCATGGGTGATAAAATGTCATTTCCTATGATGATTTTTGTCAGTAAGTCAGGTACCAAGAAGAATGCTACTGGAACAGTGATATGATCTTGCTCTATTGAAATAAAGTTGAGATCAATTTCGATCCAGGCAACAGCATTATTCCTACCTAAGCCTCGCAGTTCAAACTTGTCAAGAGGGTTTGTCTTAACATTGGGTAAGTACTGTTTAGCATAGTCAACATCCATCAGTGATATGGAAGACCCAGAATCAATGCAGACTCGGTGTAAAGGAGCATTTGCTGCATCTGATTTCAACTTTGCAAGAGAGAAGACTGGTGTCTTATCTTTATGAGCATCTTGCAATGTCAATCCTTCTAGATCTGGCATTCTGTCAACCTGGTCCTTGGCCTTGATGTGGATGTGGCGGTAGGACTGATCATAAGCTTTTGGATGAACAGAATTCACTGATGGTGTCTCACCTTCCACCGGAGTTGAAATATTTGTAGTGGGGCGAGAGTTGTTGCGAGGTTGCCATTTGTTACCGTTGTTGTTGGGAATGGAGTTGGGGAAGGTCTGTCGAGGTGGAAAATGATTGGTGTTGGGGTTAGGAGTGGGTGGTGGTGGGGCAGAGATTGTTGGGCGGGGAGATGACTGCGATGGATTACTTTGGGGAGGTCTGTTTGGGCAGTCTCGCCTCCAGTGATATCCACCACAGACACATGGAGTGCGGGGAGCAGATGTGGTTTGATTGCTGTTGTAAGCTCGAGGTAGCCCAGAAGTTGAGTTTGTCGATGTGTTATGTGTAGTGTTGAAGCGATCTACAGATAGGTTAGCATTATTCAATGTGGAAGAGGAACGATACTGTGATTGATTACCTCGGCGCAAGCCTGGTTCCAAGTCCATCAGATGTCTCCTAAAATCTTCCAGAGTCATTAAAGGTGTAATTCCAGCCTTGATGAGTGGATGCATACTGACAGGAATACCTGTGAGAAGGTCATCAATCAAATCAGCATCCGGAGTGGTTGGAGGGTAGACATAGCGCTGGAGGTTAGTTTTATCCTGGAAATAGTCACTAAAGCTCTCATTCGCACGGAGGGTGCGGTAGAGACATTGCCTGCGAAGGGTCAGCTTATGATTAGGGAGATAGAAAGCATTACGAAGAGAGTTTTTCCAAGCATCCCAAGTGTTCAAAGCAGCACGGCGGATTGAACCTAGCTGTGTGAACCAAGTTGAAGCTTTGCCAACCAGGATCAATGGAAGTTGTTGAAGAAGAATCTTATCCTGAACACCAGAGTATTCAAAGATTGCAGATACCTTTTCAATCCATTGATCCACATCCTCATTATCTCTACCACCAAACTTTGGTAAGTCTGAGGCCTTGAGTCTGAGAGAGGAATTATGGTCATCAGTCCCAAGAGGAGCAGAAGCACTTCGGCGCTGAAGAGCAGCACGGAGTTCAGTTACTTCATGCTGTGCAGCCTCTTGATCTTGCTGAGTGGTGGCGAGTACATCCTGAAGATGTGCTTCAAGTTCTTTTTCCTTGGTATGCATGGAGTGCCGAGCTTCTTGAAGTTGAATATTGGTGTCTTGAAGTTGTTGTTGGAGTTGAAGTATCTGTTGGGTCAGTGTAACTATACTGTCCTGTTGCCCAGTCTGATCTTCATCAGATGGGGCAGGAGGATCTTCTTGAGGTGGTGGAGGAGTTGGCAATGGAGAAGTATCTGCGGCAGGTGGAGCAGATGAAGATCGATGTCGAGATGGTGTTGGGGTGAGAGGTGAAGTTGTACCTATGTTAAAGGGAATTGTAGGAACATTCCCAAGGCGAGAAGCAAGTCGGGTTGTTGGTCGAAGGGAAGTCATATTGATGATTCTGATCCTGATTAATAAGTTTTGAGTCGTAAATCGAAAAAGTTGGATCCGAGTTAAGAGGAGTCTTCAGGTAGTTTTGCAGTAGTCTTGAAGTAAAATCAAAGTAGAGTTGGAGTTTTCTGGTAGCAGTGTCGAAGTAAAGTCAAAGTGTTGATGTGTGTTGAAGCGGAAGTCAGAGTAGTGTTGAAGTCTTGAGAGCTAGAGTTAGTAGTAGAGAGCAGTGTTAAGTAGGTAGTACCACAAGTTGTACTAAAGGAGGAGGAGGAGGAGAGGTGTGCAGGGGCACGAAAGGACCTATAGTC